TCACTCTGCAGTTCAGGTTGGCCTTGAACTCACTTTGTAGCCCACATGGGCCTTGAATTTGCAGTGATCTTTCTGCCTTGCCTCAGCTGGAATTACAGGCATGTGTCATCTTGACCAACTCGTGTATGTATTCTTTTAGGTCATTTTCTATTTATGTGGAGTTATGCCTCCTTTTCCCACTGCAAAGATGGGATGATGTAGTACACAAGTTTCCACACCAGAAGAATCTATGACACAATTATCATGGTGACTAAGAAATTAGGCTCTGGCAGCAGACTGCCTAGGTTTGAATCCTAACTCTTCGGTGCCACAATTTTCTTATCTGTAATATGGCACCAGTAATAATCTCTACTTCATATGGTTATTATGAGGATTAAAACCTCAGGATATGTACGGTACTTGGAGCCGTGCAGTGTATAGTCATTCTCCATGTTACACTGGCTTCCATGGCGGTGGGGATGTCTGATAATGTTTGACGAGCCTCTTTGTGGGATGTCTAGGCTGTTTCTAAACTGTCCCTGTTCTAAACTGTACAGCAAATGTCCTCTATGGACAGAGTTCTCTGGATACAGGTACATACATAAGAATTAGCAATCCTGGTATCTGGACTTGGCTATAGCTCCTGTAAGGACAAAATTCCAGGCAGCTGGGCCAACCCTGGCTGGTGGACTGCAGGTAATGGAAGCTGGTAAAGATTGTGAGGTGGTTGTTCCCTTATTTGTAGAACATGATCCATCTCCAAGGCCCATAGAGCTCGGCTGAGGTCAAATGTAAACCCTGCTGCAGACCTTCTGTGCTTTCTGATGGATGAAATATGGGGAGCTGGAGGCACACTGGTAGGATGCCTGTCCTGGGTCAGCGAGCATCTACACCCTTAGGATCCTAAAAGGTCATCTTAGGGATCAGGCGGAAAGACTGGCATCCAGCTAGAGACAGAAGGGCTTCAGTGAGGATGGGCCAGGGAAAAAAGAGCTGGTCTGGAGGAGTGGGAGGATATGAGAAAGCAGTCCTACTCTGGTCATGCCCTTCTCACCCCCATCGATTACCAGATCACCAGCACTGAACAGCAGCCTTATGCAGCTCCTCAGCATGTGGCTGTGGCCTCAGAGGTTGCTTTTGCTCAGCTTATGCTTGAGCTAACTCACTCTACCATGAATCTCATTTTTCAAACGGTATTTTTGGAACCTCATTTTTCTCTTCTGTAAAATGGAGCTAACACAATCTGCTTCTAAACACAAGGCAAATATAAAGCAACTAAATGCTTATATTGTTTGGTTCATTATGCTGATCTGGCGCCAGAGGTCTGAGCATCTCTTGAGAGGATGACAGTATGCAATATAACAAATATGGGGGAGTTCCTTCTTGTCTTTGAAGGCCAATATTGTTTTCACTGTTTTGCTTTGTTCTGATTGTTTTGCTCTACTCAATATTCTGTTTTGATTGATTTTGTAGTATTCTGTTTTTGGTTTGATTTTGCTATACCTGATGGAATGGACAACTATTGTAAAGATAACAAGATATACTATGGTACCTATCATTGTCATCCTGGTATCCTGCTTTGAAGTTCTGTACCAATTTCACTGCATTATCTTGATTGGCTTTGTTCTGTCTTGTTTAGTTGTATTTTACTATCTTTAAAATTAAAAAAAAAAAAAAAAAAAAAAAAAAAAAAAAAAAAACAAGGCAAGAAGAAGCTCCGAGGGCTGGGGATTTGGCTCAGCAGCATAAGCGCCTGCCTGGCAAGTGTGAGGTCATGAGTTTGATCCCCAGTACCAAAAAAAAAAAAAAAAAAAGGAAGTTCCAAAGGGAATCCTGACACAAAGTAAACAGTGACGCAACCAAGGATGCCAGCAACTTGTCACCTGAATTGCGATGGAAACCAGGACCTCCAGATCTTTGGATTGCTTCTTTGTAGGTCATCACTCAGATTCTCTCTAACCTGAATCTGTTTCCACGTAGCTCCAGAGGTCCACAGTAACACCCAGCCACACCTTTGTATCCCCCTGCACACTTCTGTCACAGCACAGGATGCCCTTGTCAGGGACATGTTTGATGGCAGGTTAGCTTGTGAGTTCCAGAGAACCATCACAAGACCCCAGCATCTGTGTCATCTTTCTTTTGGATTATTCACCTGTCTCCCATCCAAGGACTAACCAGGCCTGACCCTGCTTAGCTTCCGAGATTGGGCGCGTTCAGGGTGGTATGGCCGTAGACTATTCACCTGTCTATTTCACAGTGTGCCACAGTACTGTCCTAACAGAGATACAGCACAAATTAGAATGACCACAATTATGACCTCTCATCCTTATAAGAGTTGACTGTTTTAAGTGTCTGACCCAGGTAATCTGGAGATTTGCTTTCATGGGGAGGATGGATAGTCAGATATGGGGCCCCCTTGAGTCTGGGGCCAGGATTTAACCATACACTTGCCCACACTGATGCATTCAAAACTTTAACCATATTGATTAGGTCCTGCCTATATCCTTCTGTGTGAACCAATCTGTCTTGGCAGCTGAAACCTGGTTTTGCTGCTTCAAGAAAAGCATTCCATTCATGTCGTTTCTCAGTGACAGATAAGCCCTAGTAAAACTGTGTGATCTCGAGAGTTTCCTTTGCCAAGGCCACTTTTGTCAACGCGTTGGAATAGAAGTAGAATGAAAAACAAGTATACTATTAAGAGCAGTATACTTGCTTTATCTACCACATGTCTGGCTCTCAATGCTCATTATCGTCTCAGCCTTTAAACAAACTTGAGTCTAATCAGAGGCTCTGAGAGATTCAGTGACTTGCCCAAGCTAGTAGGTGCCCAAGCTGGAATTTCAACCTTGAACTGAACAAGTAGGTATCCTTGCGATTTTTCTAAACTGCATTTCCGCAGGGTATGGATGTAATCAGGGTATGGATGTAACCAGCTTTTTGTGTAGGTGGATGTATAAGTCCCATCTAAGAAATCACACGCTAGAAGGAGCTCAGATAGAGATGCTGTGGGTGGGAGGAAGAAGAGGCTACAGTGGGTTGATGAAAAAAAAAGACTTGCTTGTCTGGGAGGCCTGGATAGGGAGTCTCCATCTCGTATGGATACCATACAAGAATGGGTTTTCTCTCTATATGCATTGGGGAAATCTTTGAAGGTTTGTGAATAGGAAAAAGCGACAGAGAACAGTATTAACAACAATACACTAGTGTAAATTATAAGTTCCTTTTTGCCATGAGAGTTGGTTAAAGGGATGATCACTGGGAAAAGTCAACTGTGTTCTAGGACAAAACAAGATGGCATCAACTTGCTGGAGGTTTTCAAAATATGCTGAAGACTACCTGCTTTATTGTTGTTGAAGGATAAAGCTAGTGAAGTCACTTGACATGATATTCTACAGCCACCAGAAATATTTATGAAGGGTGCCTAATAATATGTATAATGTTGGGGCTGGGGATTTAGCTCAGTGGCATAAGTGCCTGCCTTGCAAGCAGGCAGTCGTGAGTTCGATCCCTGGTACCAATAAAAACGAAAAAGACAAAAAAAAATGTTTATGCTAAGAATAGAACAGGATAGAAAATTAAATTTCTACTATGATTATTATTCTACTTTGAAATTAATAATATCAGCTATGGGGCCGGGGATTTAGCTCAGCGGCATAAGTGCCTGCCTGGCAAGCTCAAGGCTATGAGTTCAATGCCTGGTTTAAAAAAAAAAAAAAAATCAGCCATGGAAGAAAATCAGGGGTAGGGGAAGAAAACACTATAATGCTAACAATGGTTGTGTTAAGAGGTCTATAGGTGCCCACCCTCCATCTGAAGCTATTTTGCTGCCTTTTTTTCTTTCCAGTTTTGCTTGTTTTTTGGAGACAGGGTCTCACTATGTAGTTTAGGTTGGGCTTGAACTCATTATGTAGCACTCTGCAATTCTGCCTCAGCATCCTGGGTGCTGGGATTACAGGAGTGCACCATCACCTCTGCCTTTTCTGTTATTTTCTAATGATATATAATACTCCTTTTTTTCCCCTTCTCTTTAAAAAAAATTATTTGTGGTCTTTTCGAATTGTTGTTTTGCCATACGTACAAGGCAGGGGAGTCAGCCTACAGACAGAGAAGCTCAGAAGAGTGAGAGAAGCACCCAGCACGTTGCCAGGAGCAACGTCGGCGCTCAAGAATTAGGTAAGAAGGGTCGCCGGTCCTGCGTGCCTCGCCTCGCACAATCCAGCCAAAGCCCGGACCAGCTAAGCAGTCCCCGGATCTGGGGACAAGGATGCCACGAACCCCTCATCTAGCCTCGGCGTGGCGCCTTACACAATTCCGATAGCCTCACACGGCGTCTGGTTCACCCATGGCCCCGCCCCGTGACGCGACCTTGGAGGAGGGACCGAAGAGGCCACGCCCTACGCCTCCGCTGATTGGCCGTGGCGCTGTCACCACTTCGCGGGAAGCTGGCCGGCTGTGTGTATGTATGTGAGGTTTGCTTTGTCATTCGTTCCCCTGTAGCGCGCTGACGCTGTCGGCCTGGCCAAGCACTCTGGCGTCCCCGGAAAGAATCCCGGCGCTGCTCCCGGGGCGCTCCCTTACATAATGACGCTACTGACTGAAGCACATGTCCGCACAGAAACTCCGCATGTCGCAAACCCGGGCCTTCCGATTCATACATTGTAGACGACGGCCCACAGTGCCATACAGCACCGATTATCATCCAACGAAACACAATCCAATAATCATGAGGCGTACCTTCTCAGCAAGGCATAATATAAGACGTTATATTTATAGGGCCTATTTATAAGCCTCTATTTAAATCTTTTCTGATAGGCTCAGTCACAGGTCCAGACACAATTATGATTGGTATACGCTTCTGTCCTTCAAGGAGGCGGGTTCAGGAGTCCGTTTTGCTTCAGCGAGTACTGGGATTGGTTGTCAGCGGTGGAGAGGCGCCTTCGATTGGTCCTTCGGGCCGTCTGTCGGAGATGAGGAGGCGGGGCAGGCGGCTGGCTGGTGCTGGGCGGGCGGGCCCCGGAATTGTCATTTCTTTGTTTCCGAAGGCGGAGGAGGCTCTGACCCCCCCCACCGTGGCACCCCCCCCTCCCCCCGGGTGCTGGCTCCATGTCTGTGTGACCGGCCCTAGGGGTAGAGTCCAGGCCCAACGCAGGGCGGGCCGGCGGCTGCGGCGGCTGAAGTGAGAGGCGGCGACGGCACGGGCGCGGGCGCGGGCCCCCCAGCGGGAGGATGAAGCGGCGGAACGCCGACTGCAGTAAGCTTCGCCGCCCCCTAAAGCGGAACCGGATCACCGAGGGCATCTACGGCAGGTGAGCGGCGGCGGCGCCCCATTACCGGCGCGGGCCACGCGCCCCCCAGTCGGCTCTCGAGGGTCCGGCCCCGTTATGTAACCCCGACTAGGCCTCACGCCCCCGCCGGGGGTCCTCCCGGGGCGCGGGGCGTGGCGTGGCGTGGCGTGGCGTGGCGAGGCCCGGCGGGCCGGAGGAGAGGGCGCAGGCCGGGGGAGCAGCCTAGCCGCCGTTGGCTGCGTTGCGCCCGTCGGGGGAAAGGGCGGCCAGCCCCTTTCTTCCGGGACCCGCGACCCTCCCGCCCGTTCCTGTGTGTCCCGGACGGACCCCCTCTAGCCCCGGGCCCGGCGTTGGCCTGCGAGTTTGCAGGACTGAGCTCGAGGCATGTGAACCCTGTGCAAGGGGGAGGGGGGGGCTGACAAAGTTGGTAGCTGACAGTGGCCCCTAGGCCCTCAAGGCCTTCCTGGAGACTGGTCGGGGCCACGCTGCCCCCTGTTTTACCTTCTGCTTTCCTTATGGGATCTCAAACTTGGCATCCAGGGCAGAGAAGCCTATACCCCCAAATCATGCCCCGTGGCTCATCTCCAGACGGGCTGATACTAGTTTCTCAGCAAATATTATTTTGACAGTTCCAAATAGATAGTTTTCTTCGTACCTTATGAAAAGAATTTCCCTTCAGATTCAGGTTTTTGGAGTCCCCCCCCCCTTCTAAAGGAAAACAGTGTCTCTTTAAATAGAAACTGAATTCAGTCCTCGAGGAGGAGGACAACAGGTTCATGGACAACTCAGTGACAGTCATAGCTTCCCCAATTTGTGTACAACTGATATTTTTTGGTTCTTAGAATGTCAATTTTTAAATGGTACTTCCCTTGATAAAGAAATAGGTTTAGTGGAGAAGTAATTAATTTACCAAGGATAATTCTCAGCATGTGGATGTAAAGCTTGAGTCCTGATGATGCTTCACAGTGTAGTTCTGTTAGCTGTGGGATGTGAAGTGTGGGAGGTAACCGATGTTCCCTGACTTGGTGTAACCTAACTGTACACTTTGCACATGCTGTTGTTCGCACATGTGGAATGATTCCCCTTCACACACCAGGGGTTTTCTTCAAGTTTAGAAGCATTAAGAAGTCAATTAAAAGAAAAAGTTATTGGATCAACTCGTATATAATCAGCCATAGATTATAGGAATCATTCATTCGTTCATTCATTCAAAAATGTAAATACTATGTGCCAAGCACAATTCTAGCCAGTCAAGGTGTAGAAGTGAGTAAAACAGATCAAATACATGCTGAATTGGTCAAATCTAACTATTTTAACTAAATTGTGAAAGCAAAACCAATTTTTCATACAAATTTAATGGATAGGGAAAAGGTCTCTTTAAGTTACCATACTCTTAAATCTTTTGAGTAAAGGAATGTTTTTTCCTTGGCTATTGAAAAAGGTGAATACAAATAGTAATTAGAATTATAAATGTGTATTAAACAGTTGGCAGACTTAGAACAACTGTGGTTTTTGAATGGCTGCTATTTACAGTAGCAGTAGATGATTTACCTTCATTCATTAAGACTGAGAGCCCTGTGTTGTTTACGTTTTCTGCTGTATTTTTGCTTATATTTAAATGTACCCAGTTCACTACCTGTAGCGTAGTAAACATTCAATCAGTGTGAATTAATACAAAGTGAATTCATTGTGGAATAAAAATTTATTTTACTGCCAGCTTTTGGAATTTGAATTCTCTTATCCAGAAGGTTAATAATAAAATACTCTTAAAAGTTTCAGCTGTAAAATTTAAAAAACAGCAACAACAACAACAAAATGATGTTTCGTTTCTCAAATCTGTTTGCTGGCCTTTTGCATTGGTTAAGTTAAATGATAATAAAAGAACCTCAACATATTTCTACCTGTTTTTCCTGACCATCATATGTCAATGAGTAATTCAATTCATTGTATCTGTTTCTTAGTTTATACTATGGAGTATTGGATTAAAGAACAAGATCATATATTTTTTCCAATTCTGTTTTAAAGAGAGAGTTGGAAAATTTCCAGTTATTAGGAAAACAATGAATGAGCTAGTTATAAATTAGGACATTTGAGGATTTATGGATATCAAATTTCTGCTGATCATCATATTGAATTCTGTGCTAAATTGTTTTTCACACCATCTACTGCTTATTTTGTTTCTCAACATCTAGCCAATTTTAGAGAGAGCTCATTAAAGAGAGAGCTTTTTTATTTTTTCCCTGAGCTGTGTTGTCAATTTTGGTATAACTACTCTTTCCCACTCCATAGTCTAACCCTTCAGAGAGTTATTATTTTCATGGTCATAGTCTGCAAGTTTCTGAGCCTTCACAGTGGAAGGAAGGAAACAGCTGTGATGCAGAAAGCATGCTGGACTGTGGGTTTCAGGTTCAGACTCCCTCTCCCAGCTCCGCCTCTTCAGATAGGTAGGGCATCCTTTGCTTTTATTCCCAATTCTTCCATCTGTTAAGTGAGTTTTGAGGACTAAAAAAAATATGTCCGGTTTGTGAGACTATAAATTCAAGTGTGCTGTGCAAATATTATTTACTGTGTTGCTGTCATGTTTAATGTGTGTGGTTTATTCTTAAGATTTGATGAAAATGCAAACAAAAGTTGAGTAGTCAGAATAAGGGACCAGTTGCTTCTTGATCTTGCTTGAAAAATCCTGTTGCTGAGTCACTTTTAATCATTGCACTGATTGTCAAATATCATTTATTGCCACTATCATGGTTGTGTTGAAATTTTGTTCCAGGGGCAAGATACAAGGAAAATTAATTATAATGTGTATATGCCCATCATTTGAAAATATTCAAAATTAATATAAAAATGTTATTCCAGTCAAGTTAATAATCAAGAGTAAGAGAAAGGAATGATGAGTTTTTTTAACTAAGATAAAATTCAATAAAAATCTGAGCCAACACAGAGCCTGACACAGTATAGATGATCAGTGTTCAATAAATATTGAGTGAGGATATTAATAAATAAATGGCTATAAGCTAATTCCATTCATTAAATACATTATTAAGGGAGTTTTGGAGTTTATAGGATAAGACATGGTTCCTTGTCTTCAAGGAGTTTTACAGTCTAGAAGGCCATAATAGTACACTCTTAAAGATGGACAGTGGCTTAGAGATACCACAGAACTTTCAGGTCTATTCAAATGAAAATATTTCTGCTGGATCAACTTTTAGCTTACTGTTTTAGTGGCTTAATTAAAGTGGACTAATAGCTACATTTTGCCTGTGCTATTTTATGAAATAACAGTTGCCACTAAATGAAGGAATATGTTCTAACTCAACCAAGGTGTTTAAATACTTTGAAAATCATGAAAATTAGTTATTAATAATGAAAACTCTCTTAACTGTACTACTTGTGATGTTCTTGCATCCTCACACACCTGCACCAGCTCCTCACCCCTTAACTTCTCAAGACAGGAAGTCGTTCTCCAGGTGAGGTAGGGCTAGTTGGCTGCTGTGTGGGGTTTGAAAGCCTTGAGGAGATTCTGTGTAGTTATCCCCACCCTCCCCTCCCCCACTGTCTTTTTGAGACAGGGTCTCGCTACGCAGTTGAGGCTGGCCTTGAGCTCACTTTGTAGCCCAGGCTGGTCTCAAACTGGCAGTGATGCTCCCGCCTCAGCCTCCGGAGTGCTGGATTTATAGGCATGCACTACCATGACCATCTCCCCACCTCCTGCACTGCTATGTGCTCCTTCTCCTAAGAATTGCTTACTTTATAATAGGAAGATGAGCTAAAAATGTGGTGAGTGGAAAATAGACACAGAAACATTTATACTAAAAGTATATTCCAAATCTGTAAAATTGAAATTGTTACTTATAGGAGTAAGTATAATAAAACCTTAAAACTTCATTGTGAATTTATGACTACTTCCTGTCTTCCTGTGCTGGATTCGGTTTGTAGTGTGTGGCCTGAAACCTTTAAAACAAAGTAGTGCTATACCTGTCAGTTTTATTTTTACAGCTTAATGTCTTAAAACTAGGGGTAAGAACTCAGGACTGCCTGGCATATATGGTACCTTCCCCTCATTTTTTAAAAGTTCTCTGGTCCTTGGGACTCCTTGGAAGTGACTTTTAAGATTATTGAATTTCGCATCTTCTTCAGCTTCTTAATTTCCTTTTTGACCCTTATCTGAATAATCTGATCTCCAGAAATTTTACTTGACTGCTTTTCCTGCCTTCTTAATGATGTCGTCTAAGCTGGTTTTAGATTCCTTGGGGCTATGCTTATTACAGTCCCTGGAGGTTGGCTGCCTTGCTGGACCTCAGATACCAGTAAGTAGTGTCAGAGCCTAAAACCACTTTGGTAATCTTGGTAGGCTCTAATTTCAGCAATGCTGGACCCGATATAAAAGATAGAGATCCCGTATTGTTTCACAGGAGTATTAGGGAAGGGGATAGATGTAATGAAGAAATTAAAATATTTAGCTAAATAAACTCTTATGTTTTGTGGTTTCCATTTAAACAGTCTGTCATACTGGAATGTTGGCACTTGCCAGTAGTATAGTCCCTTTAAAAATATGTCCTTCCAACTTTCAGTATGATTCTTCTTGTCTGAGCAATCTTGGCAAGTAAGTTTTATTAGGTGTTTTGAAAATCCCTTTAAATTGCTGCTACTGGGTTGAGGAGAAAGAAAGGAGTGTTCATTTCAGATTACTTGCTTAAAAGCTCCTGTTTTATTAATAATATTCCCTTTTTGTTTACATTGATTCCTCGAGGCATTTCTTGAACGTTAGTAGATACAGGTTTTTGGTAATAGCTTACTGACTTACTGTTTTCACTGTCTTACGCGTTATGTGCCCATACATTAGGGACCAATCCATGTTTTGTAAGCACTTGTATTTCCACCAGCATTTTCTTTGTCTGTTTCTCCTAGCTGTCGCCATTAATGTTAATTAACTCTTTGGGTTTTTATGTATGTTTTGTTTAATTGTTTTCTAGACTACTACCATCTTGGGAAGTCTGAAAGGTCAGATAAAAATTTCACAA